ACGGGGCACTATTCCTCCCACTGACACCAATGACGGGGCACTATTCCTCCCACTGACACCAATGACGGGACACTATTCATCCCACTGACACCAATGACGGGGCACTATTCCTCCCACTGACACCAATGACGGGGCACTATTCCTCCCACTGACACCAATGACGGGGCACTATTCCTACCACTGATACCAATGACGGGGCACTATTCCTCCCACTGACACCAATGACGGGGCACTATTCCTCCCACTGACACCAATGACGGGGCACTATTCCTCCCACTGACACCAATGACGGGGCACTATTCCTCCCACTGACACCAATGACGGGGCACTATTCCTCCCAATGACACCAATGACGTGGCACTATTCCTCCTACTGCAAAATTACAGTTATGAAGTAGCAACGAAAATAATTTTATGGTTGGGGGTCACCACAACATGAACTGTATTAAGGGGTCACGGCGCTAGAAAGGTTGAGAACCACTGCTCTATATTGTGTCGGTAACCATATTATTCTATTCAATTTAGTTCCACTAAGTGTATTCTCAATTTTTACCCAACTTTTCCCCTCTAAATTGAACGTCCAATCAAAGATTCTACCTAATATTACTGCTTTTATAATATCTCTTTATATCTGGAACTATAGACCACCCTTCTCTTTATCTCTACTTAATACCTCATGGGACACCCTCGGTTTTTTCTTCCTCCAGATATATCCCGTTATCATTCTTTTTATCACTTTAAAAAAAGCTTCCGGGAGTTTAATTGGTATCATTTGGAATCTGTATAAAATTTTTGGTACAATTATCATTTTTACCAAATTTATACGTCCTAACCACGATGGAGTTCCTCTCTCCAACGCTTTTAATTCCCCTTTTACTTCATTCAATAATGAAATATAGTTTAGCTTATACAAGTTTTTATACGACGCGCTGAGCCTTACTCCCAAGTACTTTATATCTCTTTCTTTCCAAATAAAGGGAAATTCTTCTTGTATTTTTTCTTGTTCACTTTTTGGGATATTTATGTTTAAGATCTCAGTTTTTGTTGGGTTGATTTTTAAATTTGATAATTCTCCATATTCCTTCAGTAGTTTCATTAGATTTGGTAGTGTTATTCTGGGATTCCCCACATAAAACAGCAGATCATCAGCAAAAGCTGCCACTTTATGTTCTACACTTCCTATCTGAATTCCCCTTATATCTCCATTTTTCCTTATTGTTGATAAAAGAGGCTCTAATGACAAAACATATAATAAGGGGGACAAAGGGCAGCCCTGCCTTGTTCCATTTGACATCCCAATGGGCTCTGTTTTTTCCCCATTTACTATTACCACTGCAGAGGGTTTACTATACAGTTTTCCAATCCATTCCCTCATTCTACCTCCAATTCCTAGGTCTTCTAAGGTGTCCATCATGAAGCCCCAGTCTACTCTATCAAAGGCCTTTTCTGCGTCAATTGAAAGGGCCACCACCGGTACCTCCCCATTTTTACTTCTCTGTATCAGCATCAGGGATCTCAGCCCATTGTCCCTGCCCTCTCTTCCTGGGACAAAGCCCACCTGATCTCCATGTATCCATTTAGGCATAAACTCCTTCAACCTATTCGCTAGGACCTTTGCATATATCTTGGTGTCTAAATTCAACAGTGAAATGGGCCTATAACTTGAACATTGCGAGACGTCTTTCCCTTCTTTATGTAACAGTACCACATGAGCCTGCAAAGATTCTCCCCTCATGTCCATCTCTCCTCCCAGGGCATTCATATATTTTTCCAATTTGGGGTTTAATATTTCGCTAATTTTTTTTTATAGTACCCTGCTGTATAACCATCTGGTCCTGGACTCTTCCCCATCTCCATACTTTTTTACTACTATCTTTATCTCTTCTTGTGTAATCTCTGCTTCAAGGGAGTTTAGTTGGTCCTCTTTTATTTTCGGTAATCCCGCATTTTTTAGATAAATCTTCCTTTTTTTTTTTTTTTTTTCCTTATCCATATTATTTACTTCATCGTATGGAGTGATATTATACAACTTCCTGTAGTAATCCACGAACGTCTTTGCAATTTCTTTATTTGAGTGGACCATTTCTCCCTTGGGGCTTTTTATTTTATCTATATAATTCCTATTTTTTTTTTCCTTAACCACTTGAGCTCCAGAGGATTTACCCTCCTTAATGACCAGGCTTCTTTTTGCTACTCGGCGCTGCACTAATTGAACTGATAATTGCGCAGTCATGCAATGCTGCACCCAAACGAAATTTACGTCCTTTTTTTTCACACAAATAGAGCTTTCTTTCGGTGGTATATTGATCACCTGTGCGCTTTTTATTTTTCACGCTATAAACAAAAAAAGGCCAAAAATTTTGAAGAAAAACAATATTTTTTACTTTCAGCTATAAAAAAAATATTTAGTAAACTCAAAGTTGGTTATAAATTTAGGCCAAAATGTATTCTGCTACATGTTTTTGGTAAAAAAAAGTTATAACGTCTACAAACTATGGTATAAATACTGCAATTTACGCCATTTTTCTGCTATACAGCGCTGCGCTAGTTTAACGGACAATTGCGCGGTCATGCAATACGGTACATAAATGAAATTTACATCCTTTTTTTCCCCCACAAATTGAGCTTTCTTTCGGGGGTATTTGATCGCCTGTGCGTTTTTTTTATTTTTTGCGCTATATAAAAAAAAAAGGCTGACAATTTTGAGGAAAAAGAAAACAATATTTTGGACTTTTTGCTATAAAACATGTCCAGTAAAAAAAAAAATGCAAAAATCAAATTTAGTCATAAATTTCTGCCAAAATGCATTCTGCGACATGTCTTTGCTAGAAAAAAACCCAAAACGTGTAAATTAATTGGTTTACGTGAAAGTTATAGCGTTTACAAATGGCGGGAAAGATACTGGGATTTTTAATTTTTATTTATACTAATAATGGCGCCGATCAGCGACATATAGCGGCGACCAGCGACTTATGGCGTGACTGCGGCACTGAGGCGGACATTTTGACACTGGGGGGGAGCTGACTTGGGGTCACTGACATCCCCAGTGACACCAATACAGTGATCAGTGAAAAAAACCCACTGAAACTGTACTAATATCACTGGGGAGGAAGGGGTTAACATTTTTAGTGTTCACTGTGTGAGGGGAGTGTTTTACTAAGGGGCGGGGGGTGTGTACTGAACGGGGGAGGGGGGAGCTGATCGAGGGAGAGAAACTGTATTCTCCCCTCTGCAGCTTGGCGGCGAACTGTCACAGAGCAGGCTGTGTGTAAACAATGCAGCCCTGCTCTGTTTCAGTGTTCACCGCTCATCGCGGGAAAACGGCCGGTAAAAAACCGGCCGTGACCCGGCGGCGGGGACCCGCTGCTGACACCCGCGGGACAGGTAGGGCGGGCGTGCGTCGTGCCTCGTGCGCGCCCCCTGCCTGTTTTGTAGGCACACGTTTTAAAACGTGCTTTTGCCTACGAGCGCCGCCCTGCCACCGTTTATATGCGGTGGCTGGGCGGCATGTGGTTAAGGTTCTCATTAAATATTTTCCTGGCCTATCTCCCCATTTATAGTTTTCACTTAACACTTTGTTATACACTCTCCTTCTCTCCTCTTCCATCAGTTTCCAGTTCCTCTTTCTTTTTTATTATCTTCTGCTTAATTTCTTTTAGCATTCTATTTTTGTATAGTTGTTCTAACTCCGATATATCCTTTAAGAACCCACTAATTTTTTCTCTTCTTTCTCTTCTTTCTCTTTTTTCTCTTTTTTTTCTTGCCCCAATTGCAATCAAAATTCCTCTTATATATGACTTGTGAGCCTCCCATACTGTTGCCTTAGACACATCCTCTGTCTCATTCTCTTTAAAGAATCTCTCAATTTCCTTCCCAATCCTCTGTGCATTATCCTTGTCCATGAGAAGTGCTTCATTCAGCCTCCAACCTACCCCTTCTGTTCTCCTCTTTCCCCATCCCATCCTCAATAGAACAGGGGCATGATCCGAAAGCGTCATTACTCCTATATCTGCTTTAACCATTGAGTCTATAAAGTGATGTTCTATCAATATATAGTCCAACCTTGAATATATCTGATTTGAGAAGAATGTGTAGTCTCTATCTTTCATATGCAAGATTCTCCATGAATCTACCAATTGGCATTCATGGATCACCTTCTTTAATAGTCTCAGAGATCTACTCCCCTCTCGTTGCACATTAGAATTTGTATCAATTTGTGGATCCATACAAAAATTAAAATCTCCCGCCACTATTATACAACCCTCTTTAAAATCCATCAACTTTTTTCACACACCCTTCAAGTACTCCTCTGGTTTTTTATTTGGGCAGTATATATTAGCTACTGTGCACTCCACCCCTTGTATTTTACCCTTCAAAAACAAATATCTCCCCTCTGGGTCCACTTTTCTGTCCTTCAATTCAAATCTTATATTTTTTCTGAACCCTATTGCCACCCCTTTAGCTCTCTTAATCGGGGAATCTGCAAAATACCATGTTGGGTAATCTCTAGATTTCAGCTTCACCTTAGATTCTATCTCAAGATGTGTCTCCTGAAAATAAACCACCGAAACTGCTTGATGATGTAATTCCTTAAATAACCTAAATCTCTTCCCAGGACAATTTAACCCCTTTACATTATAAGTGATGACTTGTAAATCTTCCATCCTTTTTAAATCCTTCTTTTTTTCCCTTCTAACTAGAGATCACATAACTATCCTCCTTCTCTTTACCCTTGCTTTTAATACCTCTCTCTATCCTGCAGAGTATTTCCCTTATTATCCTTTTCCCTCCCACCCTCACCTCCCCCCAACCCCCACCCTTCCTAACCCTAACCCCCCCCCCCCCCCCCCCCCCCCCCCCCCCAGGATTCCCATGCCTTTGGATCATATTCCACTTTTGATCCCTCTAGGGGTTCGACTCTGCCCATGACCGCTTACCTCCCCCCCCCTCCTCCCCAATGTCCCCTTATCTGTTGATTCTCTATTTCCTCTTTTAACCAGCTGCCACTTTCCTGACCCACAAGTATCCAACTCTCCCTCCTCCACTTCCCAACCAGGTATCATTTGTCTCTGCAGTCCAAGTTTGTCACAAAATTCCTCCATGTCTTCCGGGAATCTTAAGATAGCTGTAGTTCCATCCCTCCACCCAATTAAACTTATGTCATGGCCCGATCTGTATTTCACACTTTGTTTCTTCATCTCTTCTAATAGGGGTTTCAGTGATCTCTTCCTTCTCAGAGTCTCTGCTGTCAAATCTGCAAAAATTTGGATATTTTTCCCTCCATATGTGATATTTGTTCTTCCTTTAATCTTTTTCCATATCTCTTCTCTATCTCCATAGTTATGAAATTTAACAATTATATCTCTTGGTTTTTCTACCCCTTTTCCTTGTTGATACTTCCCAATCCTGTATACTTCATCCAGTTTGAACATCTCCTCATCCGAGTTGTCCATTATGAAGTTCAAGATTTTGCCAGATAGTTCTTTTAGGTCAGTGGTTCTCAACCTTTCTAATGCCGCGACCCCTTAATACAGTTCCTCATGTTGTGGTGACCCCCAACCATAAAATTATTTTCGTTGCTACTTCATAACTGTAATTTTGCAGTGGGAGGAGTAGTGCCACGTCACTGGTGTCAGTGGGAGGAATAGTGCCACGTCATTGGTGTCAGTGGGAGGAATAGTGCCACGTCATTGGTGTCAGTGGGAGGAATAGTGCCTCATCATTGGTGTCAGTGGGAGGAATAGTGCCCCATCACTGATGTCAATGGGAGGAATAGTGCCCCATCACTGATGTCAATGGGAGGAATAGTGCCCCATCATTGGTGTCAGTGGTAGGAATAGTGCCCCGTCAGTGGGAGGAATAGTGCCCCATCATTGGTGTCAGTGGGAGGAATAGTGCTCCATCATTGGTGTCAGTGGGAGGAATAGTGCCCCATCACTGGTGTCAGTGGGAGGAATAGTGCCCCATCATTGGTGTCAGTGGGGGGAATACGGCCCCATTATTGGTGTCAGTGGGAGGAATAGTGCCCCATCATTGGTGTCAGTGGGAGGAATAGTGCCCCATCATTGGTGTCAGTGGGAGGAATAGTGCCCCATCATTGGTATCAGTGGGAGGAATAGTGCCCCATCATTGGTATCAGTGGGAGGAATAGTGCCCCATCATTGGTATCAGTGGGAGGAATAGTGCCCCCATCATTGGTGTCAGTGGGAGGAATAGTGCCCCCATCATTGGTGTCAGTGGGAGGAATAGTGCCCCCATCATTGGTGTCAGTGGGAGGAATAGTGCCCCCATCATTGGTGTCAGTGGGAGGAATAGTGCCCCATCGTTGGCATCAGGGGGAGGAATAGTGCCCCAACGTTGGCGTCAGTGGGAGGAATAGTGCCCCATCATTGGCGTCAGTGGGAGGAATAGTGCCCCATCGTTGGCGTCAGTGGGAGGAATAGTGCCCCATCGTTGGCGTCAGTGGGAGGAATAGTGCCCCATCGTTGGCGTCAGTGGGAGGAATAGTGCCCCATCGTTGGCGTCAGTGGGAGGAATAGTGCCCCATCGTTGGCGTCAGTGGGAGGAATAGTGCTCCATCGTTGGCGTCAGTGGGAGGAATAGTGCCCCATCGTTGGCGTCAGTGGGAGGAATAGTGCCCCATCGTTGGTGTCAGTGGGAGGAATAGTGCCCCATCATTGGTGTCAGTGGGGGGAGGAATAGTGCCCCATCATTGGTAATAGTGACACCAATGATTGGGCACTATTCCTCCCACTGACACCAATGATACTTACCTTGCTGACCCCTGCTCCAGCCTGGGCTCGCTCGCTCCCTCCCTCTCCCATGGTACAAACACTTACCGGTCAGATGGCTTCCTTCTCCGGCCGCTTTCCTCCTCTTCGCTCGCTCGTGCTTCGCGGTGCCGCTCGGCTCCTCCTTTCCAAGCTCCACCTCCTCGCCGGTGATTGGCCGCCTGTGTGCCTCTCTTGAGCTACAGTTCCGGCGGCCAATCACCGACGAGGAAGGATTGATCCCGGGGGTGTGTCCAGATGACAGGAACGGCATGTCATCCCGCCCACACCTGCAGACGGATCAAGGAGCGGTGTCTCGGTTCCTAAGGCCATCGGAAATACAGTGGGGATCGAAAGTTTGGGCACCCCAGCTAAAAATTTGTATTAATGTGCATAAAGAAGCCAAGGATAGATGGAAAAATCTCCAAAAGGCATCAAATTACAGATTAGACATTCTTATAATATGTCAACAAAAGTTAGATTTTATTTCCATCATTTACACTTTCAAAATAACAGATAACAAAAAAATGGCGTCTGCAAAAGTTTGGGCACCCTGCAGAGAGTTAATATCTTGTACTGCCCCCTTTGGCAAGTATCACAGCTTGTAAACGCTTTTTGTAGCCAGCCAAGAGTCTTTCAATTCTTGTTTGAGGTATCTTTGCCCATTCTTCCTTACAAAAGTCTTCCAGTTCTTTGAGATTTCTGGGCTGTCTGTCACGCACTGCTCTTTTAAGGTCTATCCATAGATTTTCAATTATGTTGAGGTCAGGAGATTGTGAAGGCCATGGCAAAACCTTCAATTTATGCCTCTTGATGTAATCTCCCGTGGATTTCGAGGTGTGTTTAGGATCATTATCCATTTGTAGAAGCCATCCTCTCTTTAACTTCAGCTTTTTCACAGATGGCATCAAGTTACCATCCAAAATTTGCTGAAATTTTATTGAATCCATTTTTCCTTCTACTCGTGAGATGTTCCCTGTGCCACTGGCTGCAACACAACCCCAAAGCATGATTGATAACCCCATGCTTAACAGTTGGACAGAGGTTCTTTTCATTACATTCTGTGCCCCTTCTTCTCCAAACGTACCTTTGCTCATTCCGGCCAAAAAGTTCAATGTTAACCTCATCGGTCCACAGAACTTGTTTCCAAAATGCATCAGGCTTGTCTATATGTTCATTTGCAAAGTTCAAACGATGATTTTTGTGGTGAGGACGTAGAAGAATTTTTCTTCTGATGACTCTTCCATGAAGACCATATTTGTACAAGTATCTCTTTATAGTGGAATAGTGTACCACAACTCCAGTGTCTGCCAGATCTTTCTGGAGGGATTGTGCAGTCAAACGTGGGTTTTGAATTGTTTTTCTCACAATCCTGCGAGCTGTTCTGTCTGATATTTTTCTTGGTCTTCCAGATCTTGCTTTAACTTTCACTGTTCCTAAAGACTGCCATTTCTTAATTACATTCCGAACAGAGGATATTGACATCTGAAAACGCTTTGCCATCTTCTTATAGCCTTCTCCAGCTTTGTGAGCGTCAACTATTTTCAGTTTCAGTTTTCTAGACAACTGCTTAGAAGAACCCATGGTGCTGATTGTTGGGGCAAGGTCAGATAAGTCTGGGCATTTAAAACCTTTGAGATTGACATCACCTGGTCTGCCCAGACGATGATTGAGAACAATCCATGACACTGGCAGGTCTCAGCTTTGGAAAGGGGGCAGTGCATGCTATAAATTCTGCAGGGTGCCCAAACTTTTGCAGACGCCATTTTTTTGTTTTCTGTTATTTTGAAAGTGTAAATGATGGAAATAAAATCTAACTTTTGTTGACATATTATAAGAATGTCTAATCTGTAATTTGATGCCTTTTGGAGATTTTTCCATCTTTCCTTGGCTTCTTTATGCACATTAATACAAATTTTTAGCTGGGGTGCCCAAACTTTCGATCCCCACTGTATGTGTTTTCCGATGGTCTTAGGCGACCCCTGGGAAAGTGTCGTTCGACCCCCAAAGGGGTCACGACCCCCAGGTTGAGAACCGCTGTTTTAGGTCTTCCCCCTTTGTCAGTTCCAGGACTCCTCCTCTTACTCTGATATTATTTCTCCTTTCTCTATTTTCTTGCTCTTCCATCCTATAAAGCAATCTCTTATATTCTTTTCTATCTTCAATTATCCATTTCTCTAATTTTGGGATGGTCTGAGCTTGGGCTTGTACCTTCTCCTCCACTTCCTCCACCCTAGTTAACAATTGTCCCAGATCTTCCCGGATCATCCCCATCTCTTGCTTTATTGAGTTTTCCAAACCTTTAAACATCTCCGCCATTTCTTTTTTGTTAGGTATTTGCATATCTCTTTCCAACTCTCTCGGTTCAATACCTTCCATTTGGTTATTATATACTGGGCCCAGGGAAAGTCTCGGGCTATTATCCACACTTATATCCAATTCACTTTTTTCAATTATTCCCTGAGTTCTTTCTGGGGTAACATTTCCTTGTGACACATATTTCTTAATTGTACCAGTTTGGGTGTTCTTAGGCCCGCTCCCTTTGATATTTTTACCTTTTCATGTTGTTATTGAAATTTTTACTCTTGTTTCATGAAACTTCAGTTCTCTTACTCCTCCCGATCTTCAGACCTATCCTAGGAATCCCCTAATTCTTTTTTATTATCAGGTTGAGTTTTTAAGGCACTGTCTTATTCTGGGCACTTAGGAAACTAGCGCAGGAACTCAATATATATATAAAAGTCTAATATACAAACCCAATGTATATGGCGTGTAAAAGGGGACCTGTAGGCAAACCCACGGTCATCACTCACCCACCGCGTTGGAACCTCACTCCAGAAGTAGTCCTCCTCTGTATTTATGTCCCCTTATAGCCTCTTGAAGGGATTCCTAGGGGTCTCACGTAGTTCATGTAGCTTATCTTCGGATCACAAGTCCTCTTAAATTGGAGTTGATATGCAGGTTAGTATTTGAATAGAGAAAGGAGTAGTGTAGGAGGTATGCTATTTAGCCGTATTATGAGATTGGAGATATAAAGTTATAAAACTTTTTAAGGTTGTAAGGTTGAGAATGGTATGGAGGTGATATGGAGTGGAGGTAGGTTAGGTAGAGGAGACAGGTAGATGTTGTACAGATTTAGAAGTTGTGTATATTGTGGGGGCAATATGTCCTTTGCTCTCAGCCACTTCACCCACTTGCTCTGATGTCGGGCAATCTCTCTCCTCCACAGAGCTCCCAGAGCTCCTCCGCGGCTTCCCACGTGTCGGTGCCGCTCCAATGCCTTGCCCGTCTCACTGGCGTCTCCCTGGCAACCCTGCTCCTCCGAAGCCACCGCGCGACGCCAGAGGATACCACGAGGCGTCCCTCTCTCAGCTCTCTCCTGGCTCCAGGCTGCCTGACCGTCTCCCTGGCAACCCCACTCCTCCTCGATAGCAGCTGCAGGGCATCGGGGGAAAAACCCCGAGGTGTCCCTCTCCCGGCTCTCTCCCCGACACTCTCCTGGGACCGACCGTCCTTGGGCCTCCACGAACCCTCTCCTGCAGGTGGGTCTCTGCACTCAATCAATGCTGCTGGCCATTCTGTCAAGGACTCATAGGGAGGATAAACGAGGGGAGGCTAACGGAGAGTGCTTACTACACCCTCTCCCGTGCCGCCATGGTCAGGCTCCACCCCCTCAGGTCCTCCTCATGGTATCCTTTCTGACCAGTTTCTTCCTGGCTCTTTCTTCCAAGTTGGAGTGATGTCATTATCCAGGTAGTCTGTGTTGTACTAAATACCTTCCACTTTTTAATAATAGACTTCACTGTGCTTCTAGGCATTGATAAAGCCTTTGAATTTTTTTTGGATTCATCTCCTGATTTGTGCCTGTCCACAACTTTATCCCAGACATCTTTTGACCGTGCCTTGCCACCCATAATTGACTGCTTGCTTCAGTTGTGCTACCAGAGACTGAAATGCTCCAGGAAAGCTCTTTTCATGCTGAGCTAATTAAAATGACCAAAGCTGATCACTGTTGAAAGCCATGTAACATTTGGGAATGTTTAGCTCAGTGGTAGATATGTTTGCAAGTGAGTTCACACTAGTCAGACTCTTTCAGGGCTTGGTAGCCCACTTTTATTAAAAGGCAAGAAACAAAAACACAAAAGTCCAAAATAAGCTTTCCCACACGGGTTCTTCTCCAGTAGTAAATACAAATGAAAAATGCTAAGCCTCCTGGCTACTCCTTATGGTCAGCAGTACCTCTGCTGATATAGGTCTCCCAGACCACTGGCTATTCCTGGCGCACCGAGCCTTAAGCCCTTTTGATGCACAGAGCATCTGTCTCACACAGAGACTCAAAGGCAGCCACTGCTCCAACTGCACTCCAGTCCCCCCTGCAACTCTCAGCAGACCATCATTACAAGGGCTGTGAGCACCAGGGCCCACACCCTGCTGGTTGACTACAAAACCTGGGCACTGGATTAGAGATTTCTTCCCTCCCAAGCCACTTTGAAATCTCTGAACTACGGCGCCCATCCAGAAAAATCCAGAGAAACCTGCAACAGCAGTTTTCTCCACTCAAAATCTATGCTCCTCAGTTCTGCACTCCACACATGTGCAAACCCTGTGTCCGTTTCCTGACCATCTCTACCCATTTTCATCCTGTGACAGGGCCCTGCACTGTTACAATATACATATATGGATGGACTTTTGTCTTTTTTTCAGCTAGACTAACTATGTAACTAAATATATATATATATATATATATATATATATATATATATATATATATATATATATATATATATATTTACGAAATTATATACTATATTGCAAAAGTATTGGGCCGCCTGCCTTTACACTCACATGAACTTTAGTAGCATCCCAGTCATAGTCCGTAGGGTTCAATATTCTGTTGGCCCACCCTTTGCAGCTATAACAGCTTCAACTCTTCTGGGAAGGCTGTCCACAAGGTTTAGGAGTGTGTCTATGGGAATGTTTGACCATTCTTCCAGAACCGCATTTGTGAGGTCAGACACTGATGTCGGACGAGAAGCCCTGGCTTACAGTCTCCACTCTAATTCATCCCAAAGGTGTTCTGTCGGGTTGAGGTCAGGATTCTGCAGGCCAGTCAAGTTCCTCAACCCCAAACTCACTCATTCATGTCTTTATGGACCTTGCTTTGTGCACTGGTGTGCAGTCATGTTGGAACAGGAAGGGACCATCCCCAAACTGTTCCCACAAAGTTGAGACTATGAAATTGTCTTGGTATGCTTACTCCTTAAGAAGTGGAATGCTTACTTCCAGTGAAGTTCCCTTCACTGGAACTAAGGGGCCAAGTCCAACCTCTGAAAAACCACCCCACACCATAATCCCACCCCCTCCACCAAACTTTACACTTGGCACAATGCAGTCATGCAAATATTGTTCTCCTGGAAACCGCCAAACCCAGACACATTCATAAGATTGCCAGACAGAGGAGCGTGATTCATCACTCCTGAAAAGACTTCTCCACTGCTCTAGATTCCAGTGGTGGTGTGCTTTACACCACTGCATCCGATGCTTTGCATAGCACTTGGTGATGTAAGGCTTGGATGCAGCTGCTCAGCCATGGAAACCCATTTCATGAAGCTCTCTACACACTGTTGTGCTAATCTGAAGGCCACACGAAGTTTGGAGGTCTTTTTAGATATTGACTCTGCAGACGGTGACTTCTGTGCGCTTCAGCATGTGCTGATCCCGCTCTGTCATTTTATGTAGCCTACCAGTTTGTTATAATACCATGTACAGTTGACTGTGGAATATTTAGTAGCAAGGAAATTTCACGGATGGACTTATCGCACAGGTGGTAACCTATCACAGTACCACGCTTGAATTCACTGAGCTCCTGAGAGCAACCCATTCTTTCACAAATGTTTGTAGAAGCAGTCTGCATGCCTAGGTGATTGGTTGTATACACTTGTGGCCATGGAGGTGATTGGAACACCTGAATCCAATGATTAAGAGGGGTTTCCCAATACTTTTGGCAAGTGTTTGTGTAATATATTTACTTAAAAAAAATAAAATTAAAAATCAATCACCATTTTCAACCAAGTAGCATTTCTGCAAGGTTTTCTTGCAGTGAGATAGCAGATTCAGGACCTGAGACTCAAAAAAAAAAGTGCCTTAATTCTTCAGATTGAGCCTTACCTCTTACACAGAGCAGTGCAGGTGGCTCATATTGCATCACGGGGGCTGTTTTTTTTTTGTTTCATGATGACGAGAGGAATGGTTTCAGCAACATAAACAAACATATAAATATGTTTTTTGCAGAAATAGTGTTTAGGATTTCTACAATAATAATTTTTATGTGGATATTTTAGTTGCAGGTATGGCTTAACAGAGTTCCACTTTAAATGTTGAACATTTTGCTTTCCTACATTCTCTGATTTCTCTGCTCATACCCAGATTTATAATAGCACTTTGTTTTCTGTTTCTACTATTCCCTTGCATCACATTGGTCTGCAACTTTCATCACATTGCAGTGCAGAACACTTATGCAAAGCACAAAACAGGCATTTTACATATATTCCTCAATAGCTACAAATGATATAAATACACTTTCTATGCAAACCCAGATATTACCTTGTAAAAAGTAATAATGACATCATCCCTATGTTGCACATAGCCTGGGCAGAGAGCAGAGCTGTGGGGGAGGCTGTGTTCAGCAGATCCCACAGAAGATTTCAGGCGAGGAGGGGGCAGAGACAAGACCAGTCCAACCACACAAGGAGAGAGAGCAGCAATAACTGGTCTTTATAGAGACAAGTTTTAGACTGGATTATTGCACAGATCTGGATGAAATGCACAAAGCATACCAAGATTTGATGCAAGAATCCACATGCCTCTTGTATTTAGACGGTATTTTACTTATCCTGGGCTTCAACTTTACTTTAGTTTGATGTAATATTTTCTTTTATTTGTTTTATATTTCTCATTTCTTTCTAATCAAATCCTGTCATTTTCACTCTTCAGCTTCCACATTTTCTATTTGTATCTGTTTTTTATCTTTTCATATGACATTGTATTCACAGAATACACTCTTAATTATATGGTGCTAACCTATAAAGTCAAGTACTTGCCATTCACAGCAGCTGTCCAGGGCCAGCTTAAGCAGTGTCAGGAGGAAGATCCAGCACTAGTCAAACTTTGACGCAAGCTGTCAGCTCTAATAATTCCAGTCCCACTGTCACTATGACACCTCCCCTTTTTAATTTAGTTATTTATTTTAGCTCAGATACAGAATGGTATTCATGCTATTCATTGACTAAAATCAGATAACCGCTGGTGCCAATAGGAATATATCTCCTGACAAGTGGATTAAAATTGTATAAGTTTCCCTCTAATTGGATATAAGCAAGTTTTTTTTTTTTGTTTTTTTT